ACCTCCCAGTTGGTCTCGTAAAGGTTGTACCAGCCCTTGCTCATGTCTCGAAGGCTGCTTCGCATAGCTACTTTCAGTGTGCTGACCCAGCTGTCCTTGAGGAACATTTGCACCTGGAGTGGGCACACACGCCATCAAAAAGCCACCCCAGGGACCCACCATCCACAGCTACTATGCGCAAGGGTAATATACCAGGATTCTTGAGACTCATATGACAATGGAGGGAAATGCCCCACAACTTGTTGCCAAGCTCTGCGAATCAGTACCCTCAATGTGACATCTGGGGTCCAGGGCTGCTTGGAGGAGAGGCAGGGGACATGGGCCTCAGAAGCAGCCGTGGGAAAGAGACAGACACATAGAAGAGGAGGAGGCAGAGACGGAGAACACACCAGTGAAAGTAAGACAGGACTGAGTGGAGAGGGGCTGCAGCCATGCCCCTCACACCCTGGTCCTCAAGTATTGGGATGGGGGTGTGATTCCTGTTCCCCCTTAAGACAAGAAATCTGCCCTAAGGCCACCAGAACTGGCTCAGAGGGACTGGAAAGGAAGCCCGCCCTGGTTCTCCTTGCAATGCAAGATGAGCTCCACCCTTGCCCCACCCTTGCCCCACTCCAGCAGGGCCTAGAGGCATGTACTGTTGGCTGTGAGGGCCCCAGGGCCCCATCCTCCATGCTCTGATGCCCAGGTACCTGGGAGAGGGTTTGAGACTGGATCTGTTCAAATTCCTCCAGGCGGCTGTACTTGGAGAGGCTTGAGTGGAACAGGGACATGGCGTTCACCTTGTTGCATTCAGCCCGCACCTTGCTCAGAGCCGTGATGACTTCTGGCCGAGTGAGCAGGGACACGAAAGTGAAATCTTCCTTTTGCTCCTGGAAGGGGTACTTGGGGATACTCACCAGCCCTGCAGAGGTGGGGGCAAAAGCCAGCATCAGACCTGGGGCACCCTGAGGGCCAGGACTCATCCACAGAGTGCTTGATAGAGGGGACACAACTGCTTCCTTCCCAGGAGAGCCAACTTCATTCCCAGAACCCTTCTTTTCCTACTCTAGGCCCACAGTGAGTCACCTGCTCTGAGATTCCCTCCAGGCTCATTAGTGGTCACTGGCCCCTTTGAATAGTGGGAGGTACCTGTAGGCTCCTCCCTGTCTACACTACCCATGCTACATGAAGCTGGAGGCTGGTCTGGAGCCTATCCTGGATCCCCAAAGAAGGAATATTTGGCTATAAGAATGCTTGATATCCACATATCACACACAAGAATCTGGGGCCAGGAAATGCACTCCGCATGCATGAGTAGTCTCAAAGCAAGGAGAACTCTTGGGGTTTGTTCTGAGACTTGGTCTTCCACATGGTGCTGTAGCAATGCCAACTCTACTCCTGTTACTGAAAGAAGAAAGGCTGGTATACCTTTGAGGCCTGACTATCAGGATCTTAATGTCTACTTTTGACCATGGCTTTCCTGGTACATATTTACCTTGTGGCTTCTGCATTAGTGGGACACACACACACACACACACACACACACACACACACACACACACAGTTTTTCCTTGGACAAGATTTTCCTGGGCATCTGGAAAAAGAAAGGTATGAAGGCTAGGGACAGGGTGGGCCCAAGGGAGTACCAGGTTCATGAGGCCCTGAGTGGCTAAACAGAAAGGGAGGCAGGGGCGGGGCAGGTTAGCCAGGAGGGCAGACAGAGTCCTACGGCTCTCACCGTGACTGGGCACCTTTTCTTCCTCTTTCTGGGGAAGAGTCACGTAGGAGAACGTGTCTGGCTTAGAGGAGACAATCTGGTCAAAGTTGATCTTGTTCATGCTTCGCTCGTAGTCCAGGCTCACTTCTCTGGCCAGGTTGCTCAGGTGCTCCAGGACCCTGCCACAGAGAGGGGTACAGGGAGTCAGGGGGTCCCCACACTCCGCTGAGTATAAATTACGAGTGCAATGTAGTGTATATGTAAAAGAAACAAACTGAGGACCAGCGAGAAGGCTCAGTGGGTAAAAGGTGCTTGTCATCAAGCCCGACGGTGTGCGTTTGAGTCCCAGAATCTACATAGCGGAAGGAGAGGACAGACTCCCAAAAGTCATCTTGTGACCTCTATATGTACTGTGGCATGTACATTCTCTCTCTCTAAACAAACGTAATTTAAAAAACTTAATTAAAAAAATTAAAATGCCGGGCGGTGGTGGCGCACGCCTTTAATCCCAGCACTCGGGAGGCAGAGCCAGGCGGATCTCTGTGAGTTCGAGGCCAGCCTGGTCTACAAAGTGAGTTCCAGGAAAGGCGCAAAGCTACACAGAGAAACCCTGTCTCGAAAAACAAAAAAAAAAAAAAAAAAAAATTAAAATAATTGAGCCAAACTACACCTCATAAAATATATAAATACCCTAATTGTGAGGAAGAATCAACTCAAATCAGCTTTGAACACAACATTTTGACTATATTCTCCCATCCTAAAGAGGAAAAAAGGACATAGGGCCAGAAAGCCTACTAAGAAGCTGGGAGTGATGGCCATGCCTGTAATCCTGGTACTGGAGTGGCCACAGCAGAAGGGCGTTGAGTTCAGGACTGTCGCAAAACAAAACTAATAAAATTTAAAAACTGTTTAGAGTTTTTCTTCTAACTGTCATGGACCAGCCATTTGAAGCTACTTTTGGTGTATTATAGGACCGAGCATATAAACCAATATGTGTTGAACAACGGGAACCAATTTTCTTCAGGTAAAGAAAGCCACAAGTATGTCAAAGTGAGAATGAGCCACGTGCTGTTAGAGTCAATTTGAAGGTATCATTGGGGCTCATGCTTGAAAAAAAAAAAACAGATAGACAGAGAAAATAAGGAGGTGTATAGAGGTGCTATATATAAGATTAATTATGTCTAGGAAAACATTTTCCCTTGGCTGTCTTTGCTCTAAGATCCTTGCAGCAACACATCTAATGCCTAAATCCTGGCTTCTAAATACCCCACTAAAAGCAACTGGAGCTTCTTGGAGAAAAAGCCTATTTTGGGGACTGGAGAGATGGCTCAGCAGTTAAGAGCACTGTCTGCTCTTCCAGAGGACCTGTGTTCAGTTCCCAGCACTCATAAAGCCCTTCACAACCATCTGTAACTCCAGTTCTAGGAACTCTGACCCCCACTTTCGGTCTCCACAGACCCCCGGAACACATGTGTTGCATACGAGCAGGCACTCATACACATAAAATAAAAACAAGATGTAAAAGTCTTTTGTAGAAGCTAGTTTCAAGGCTGGATCTGGGAAAATACAAATTAACCCGAGACCTCCTGCTGTGCCAGGCAGTAAGAACATACTCAAAGCATGATAGGACATAGCAAAAAGACACGAGGTTAGCCTGAAGAGGCCACAGGTCACATTTCAGGATAGAGATTAGAAAGAAGCAGTAGCGCACTCTAATGCTTTCAACATAGCGAGAATTCATGAGTCCAGAAGGCTCTACAGGGAGGCAACTGGAGACATCCTGACACTGCTTGGAGTCCGAGTCCCTATGTAGACAGCAAGTCACCTGTGCCTACGTGATACAAGCTAGTGTCATTTGCAAAGAGAAAGTTCAGCGAAGAAATGCCTCCATCAGACTGCCTGATGGCAAGTCTGTAGGATGGTTTCTTGATTGATGAGTGCTGTGAGTGAATCCAGCTCACACAGGGCTGGTGCCACCCACGGGCAAGTGGTCCTAGGTTGTATAACAAAAAAGCAGGCTGAGCAAGCCAATGAGGAGCGAGCCAGGAAGCAGCCATCCTCCATGGACTCTGCTTCAGTTCCTGCCTCCAGATTCCTGTTCTTGAGTTCCTGCGCTGACTTCCCTCAGTGATGGACCCAGAAGCACAAGATGAAATAAATCCTTTCCTCTCCAAGTTGCTTTTGGTCGTGGTGTTTTACTACAGTAAAAGAAGCCCCAACCAAGACATCACCCCACAGAGACGTGCCAGCGGTTGCTCTGTAGCCTGGCAACGCTACCCCCATGGAAAGGCCCGGGAGGCTGCAGCACCCAACTCACTGCGGCCCCTTGCGCATGCGTGGCGTGCTCAAAGCCCACTGTTTTATCTTGTTCAGGCTTTGCTCATTGATGACCCGCTGGCCCTCGGTGGGCATGCAGTCCACGTACAGGTTGTACAGTAACAGCGCCTCTGTGTTCTTGCGCAGAGCGTTGGCCTCGACCACCCGCTGCGTGAACACTCGAGGATCTTCAGCACAGAAGAGCAGCTGGATCCGCGGCACCCAGTACTGGGAGACCAGCAGGGGTGGCCTTCCTAGGGGTCAGGTGGGAAGGTGAAAGGGACACATAGTCAGGCCCCCTGGACTGGAGTAGTGGCATCTGGTCAGCTCTGCCTCAGCTGGTGGCTCTGAGCAAGCTGTCATTGTTATCATGGGGTGTGGTGCCCCTCACAGTCAAATATGTGAAATGGGCCAAAGCACATTTCCTGCTCTGCCCACTTCATAAGGCATTATGGATGCATGTGAAAATACTTCGTAAACTGTGAAGAGCCTTGCTCGGGCAGGAGTTAACACAGGGGTGGCTATTCAGGTGTCCCTTCCTTCCTCCACACTCCAGAGCAAACATAAACAGGCCTTGGTTTCCTTTACAACACCATGCTGAAAGCCACCGGGCCAGCTGCTCCCAGCCAACAGGCCAAAGAGTGGCAATTTGCCTTCTCCAGGTCCTCTGCTTCAAACTGATCAGGGGACAGGCCCTGGTTAATAAACCCAGTACGGTAGAATTCAGAACTGAGCTGGTGGGAATGGGCTGTAGTCACAGGCTGGGCCAAGCTTGAGCTGGGGCTCACCTGGGGAAGGCACAGAGCTTGTACCTTTGGGGGTGACTCCTCCATTCACGATGGGCATCCCCATCTCGTCGCGCACCAATCCTCTCTTGTCAGTTTTCTGCACCAAGTACAGTTTCTTTTCTTCGTCGTAGTCGAGGACGCCAACATCACACCATCTGTAGTCCAGGTTCTGACTCTTGGGGTCCTCTAAAACAGAGGGGGACACCCTATCATACTCTCGGCCATAGAGTGGAGAGGGGTTTCTGAGTGTGGCAGCCGATGTTGGGAATGGAGCTCAGAGGTGACTAGACTGACGTCTCTTTCCCCAGGACACCCCTTCTGGCTCCAGTGAGTAGCCGTCCCATGTCCCCTCGGATGAGCTGACCCCTGAGGAAGCCTCAGTCACCAAGAGGACCCACAAAGACCAGGCCTCAGGGCACAGCCCCCACCAGAGCAGAGGGAGACACAGGCCAGTGGGGAACCGTGAAAGGTGCAGCCAAACAAACATTCGCCACACTGAGTGCAGAGCCCGGTGGCGCATGCCTGTGGTCCTAGCTACTCTGTGACATGGAGGCAGGGGTATGGTACAAGTTCAGGGTCAGACTGGGCTACAAAGTGAGCCCAGGACAGGCTGGAAACTTGGTCACACCCTGTCTCAACATGAAAAGTTTTTTAAAAGGGGATTGGGGGGCTAGAGAGGCAGCTCAGCAGTCAAGAGCACTGGCTGTTCCTCTAGAGGACTGGGGCTCGATTCCCAGCACCCACATGACAGCTCTCAACTGTCTGGAACTCTGATTTCTGAGGATCTGACACCCTCTTCTGGCCTCTAAGGGCGCCAGGTACACACACATGGCGCACAGACATACATGCAGGCAACATATCCATAAACAAAACAAAACAAAGATCAGAAACACAAAGAACACTGATGATCACAAGTGGCCATCCTGGGTGAAGCTAGATGACTCTCGTTATGTGACCAAGGAACCTCTGGATATAAGGCCACTGACCTCTGTGTGACAGGACAGGACAGGACAGGACAGGGCAGGGCAGGGCAGGGCAGGGCAGAGTCAGGAACAACCGCTCCACTCATATACGGTGTATCTGTCTATCCTTGTGACCTACTCTGCCTCAGGTCCTTTCCCTAAGGGTGGGAGCTATTTTTGTCCCACCTTAAGCACAGCTGAAGACTTGGGCTCAGGACAGAGATTGGTGCATAGCTGGTATTAAATGTTATTGAAGAAGTAAGATGCACACACGGTGCCCGGCAGAGAACTTAACCACACGGAGTAGCTTAAAACAACTTGGTGAGTTCTCCAGCCTAGGTTAAGGAAGGAAGGGCTGGAATTCTGGGAAGAGGAACCTGCCTCTGACATCAGATAGTCAAGGCGGCCACTGCTGTGTGCCCTCACCTCTCTGGTTTTACTTTGCTTTTCTCTTCCTGGGATGTTTCCTTTTTGAAAACATCAACTTCATCTTGGCTCAACTTATAGGAAAATCTGTCCCAAGAGACTACTGGCCAAAAGTAAGAGGTCCCTGGCAGATGCTCCCTGTTGCTCAAGGCCAGGGCCCCAGTGAATCGAAGAGGAACTGGTATTCAGTGCATTTAAGGTTAACACAGCCCCACTCCTTATGGTTTAATTGCCAGGAACTGGAGAACTGGAATCAATTTAGTTAAACATTTCTGTACTTTAAGCCCAAAGTGAAGGAAACACTCTGGGCTTCTTGTCTACTTCAGAGAAACTGATTCCAGTATTGACGTATTTTTAAAATGAAGTGTATCTGTAGCCTGTACAGAGAACTGCCATGGGCCTCCCCCAGAGGATACACAACTTTTAACCCTGTCCTTGCTCATATAGTCCTGCCTTCCATCTGATGGCTGGGTAACTGGGACTGCTCACTCCACACATGGCCATCCACCCCAGAACAGGGGACAGCTTTCAGCTCTTCCACTACCAACCTCCAAACCATACTTAGGAATCTTCCTAGGAAGGCTGCACAGGACCCAGTCATGCAGGCCAGAGCGGCATCTACATTCACTCTGTCACTGTTCCTAACAGCAGGCAATTGAAGAAAACCTCCGTGGCCATCGGGGCAGACCAGAGGCCAATGGAGGAGACATAAGCACTCCATAAACAGATGTAGGCAATCTGGGTGGCATCCCATGGGTACATGTGGAAAGGGTGTGACACTGGTTCTAAGTGTGTGACTGTGGAATAGATACGTGAGTGTGTGCTGCGGAAATGTGTTTAAATGCAACAACATGCCAGGAAGGGGGATGGTGTGTGATATAGTGAATGTGATTGTGAATGTATGTGACAAACTGTATGTGTGCTCCTGTGAGCAACTCTGTGACAGTGTACTGTCCACAAAAGAGAAAGAGCCGACGCTGGGGTGGTGGTGGGGCACACCAATAATCCCAGCACTTGGGAGGCAGAGAGAGGTGGATCTATGAGTTCGAGGCCAGCCTGGTCTACAGAGTGAGTTCCAGGGCAGCCAGGGCTACACAGAGAAACCCTGTCTTGAAAACCATCAGGAAAAAAAAAAGAGAAGGAGCTGAGGTTGCTGAGAGCAGAAATAATAGTGATTTCAGGGTAGATAGATGGAAGGTCTGTAATTGTGCCCTTAAACATTTCCAATGAGCATTTATATTTTCACTTTACTGCCAATAAAGATTTTGTGTGTGTGCTCTTTGTGTGTGTGTGCACACGTGTGCAGGTAAGCACACCTGTGCACAAGCTCATGGATGCCAAAGAGGGACGGAGGAGTCTTCCTTTATGGCTTTCCGCCTGTTCCCCTGATACCAGATATCTCACTGAACCCAGAACTCACCATTTCTTGGTTAGGCTGGCAGCTAGCCAGTCCCTGTGATCTCCCCGTCTCTAGCTACATCCCTAGCGCTGTGGTTATAGGTATGCTCACCACACTTTGCTTTTGACATGGACGCTGGGGACCTGAACTCAGGTCCTCCTGCTTGGGTAGTCAGAGCTCTTACCCACTGAGCCATCTCCCAAACCCCCCAAGTTTGTTGTCCTGTCCCCGCCCTCTCGACAGGGCTGTCCTTGGCCTTTGTGTCCCTGCCTCCCTGCGACCAGATTCTTGGACCGCACCATAGCTGGGAGACTTCAGCAGATACTTTAGCTCTCCTGGCAACCAGGTCCTGGGGGAGACTAAGGGTCTTGGCCAGGGGTTGCTGGGACGAGACAGTTTTCCCAGCCGCAGAGTGGTCCTGCTCACCGTGGCCCAGGACGTCATCGGTGGGAAGGAGGGCTTTTCCAGGGACAGGCTTCCTGTTTTGAGACCCTGGCTCCAAGCCCATGTTGATCCACTCTGTGGGAGTCCGGCAATCAAACTCTTCATTATCAAACACCTTGGAGAAAGCAGGCAATTGTCCAATGAAACAGTTCCTCTAGTGGCCAAGCAAAACTGGGCACGCCAGAGGCCTCTGCAGCCTCCTGAGCTATAGGCTGTACTAGACTGATCTGTAAGATCCCTGCTGCTTCCATTGACCCACCGTGTTTGAGCGAGGGAGACTGCCCTGGATCTATGTCTAGCCAAGCCTGCCAAGGCTCAGTCTGAGGGTGTCCAGGGTCTCAGAGGAGGATGTGGGCCCTCTTGACTACTGTGGGAGAACACTGAGCTCAGGACCAAGGGGACAGGTAACTCAGAGATTTCCTGAGACATCCATGCTGATCAGAACAACAGAGACTTGGTGCTACCAGCGGGCAAACCTTAGTAGCCTGACACTCATCTGGATTCAGCTCTGCTTCCCATGGGGGCCACAGTGGAAGGGAGGAGAGGACATCAAGAGCTGGGGCCTGGCTGTGCTCCCTCTTTCTCCTCCCCAGATTCAGTTTCCCTGGAGAAAGAGGTACCAAATCCCTCCTACATCCCTACTCTCCTCATTTCATAAGCTCTCATCATCAGGGGGTCTCTAGTCAGGGGGTCAGGACTCTGCGCCACATTTCAACCTGGCTGTTTACAGATGACTGTGGCCAGGGTTGGAGTATGGAGCAGGCACACTGGGCTGTCTAGGATTCCAGGGAAGAAGTAGGGAATTGATGACTTATTGGTTTGGAGATCACTCCTGCTTCAGCACAGCATCTACCAACACCTAGGGATGAGTTCGGATTATTCCATTGTGTGACAAATGAATGCCTGTGCCTGGAGTGGGAGTCCCCTTGGTTATGTGACTCCTTGAGCTTTCACCTGGGGTTCAGGACCACCATCTATCAGCAATCATGGCAGTGTGACTCACCTTCAATGGGAGATAGATGGGGAAGAGTGGGTCATGGCCCTGTTCGATAGTTTGTGGGTGCTGCAGGTCTGGGTGTCTGGGCATGAGCTTGTTGGAGTCGATGCCCTCACTGGCTAACAGTTGCTCAATGTCCAAGCGCAAGTACTGTTGTTTCCTCCTAGCCAGAGTCAAGGGATGACAGCCAATGAAGTAGCTTCAGGGATGTCAGTAAAGACCCAGGGCCCCAACTGCCTCTTCTACCCTGCCCTGGCAGCCCCACTTCATTGACTTAATGGCTGCCCTCCCCAATTCTACAGCAAGGAAAGCCATTGGAACCTATTAAAAGAAAAGTTGCTCGCACATTTACACATGCTCTGCTGTGGGGCTTGTCACCTCATGGTCTGCAGTCCCCCAACCCTCGAGCCCAGCAGATGCTGCCTCCCTGGGACAGGCTTCCCTCTTCAGCCCTCCGGGCATACCTCTCAATCTCAGTCTTACGAGGGCACTGGCTGGGCAGTACGTAGAATGGGACCTGCACCTTGGGCTCATAGGCCTGTACCGGGAAGTCAGTCTGAGTGAGCAGCCGCGTGGTAGCGCCAATGCACTGCTGATCCACGCACTCCTGAAAGTTCTCAGGAATCTTGAATGATCCAACTATGAGTAGAGGAGACATCAGCAGCTGAGGGTTCAGGCTAGGGCCAACAGCTCTATTCTGAGCCATCCCATAAGGCACATCCTCAGATAGGAACCAGGTAGACATGTGCTGGGGTGTGGGATGCTTAGGTGTGCCTGTGGCTTGGCAGAGTCAGGGAGAAATGAGAAACCCTGGGCTGTTATGCCAGTCCCAGGCCAGCATTGCCCAGTCCCTCTCAAGCCACCAATTATTTTAATACTGGAGACCAATGCTCAAGCTGCAAGACTAGTGAAGGTCACAGCTGGACAGGAAGATGAAGTGGGGTCCCTTCCTGCTACTCAATCCCAGACACCCACGATGGATGTGTTGCATGTTAGAGTCCCACGTGTTCTTCGGGCTTGTTTCCAGGAGCGAGGCATTCTGGACACTGTAGGAGTGCCCTCCATGGGACCCTTATGGCATCACATGGCTGCTGCCCCTATTTGGACAATGGCAGACAGAGGCGTCCATTCTAATTCTGGGGGAGGGAGGCAGTGGGAAGAGAGTCGCAGACAGGTTGACCTACCATCTCCTGGGACACAAGATGCTCAGGGAAATGTACCAGATGAACCAATACCATGCAGGTAAAGAAAGGGGGTATGGGAATATGCTGTAGGATGCCATGGGCTACTACTCTCCCCTCTGTTCTATGTGACCCTGATGATCCCATCCTGGGACCTCACCTCTTCTCTGGAGTGAAAAAGCAGTTATATGCATGAGCTAATTTTAGGGGTATCCTTTGGAGTCCCACGGAAGCCTGGGCTAGTATCTGAGATTTTGTAGAGGCCTCGGGTAGCTGCATAGACTTCTGTCAGTGCCTGCCAAGGCCTCTGCCTGGCACCCTCCTGGGCCTGTTGGGATATTCCCCCTTCTGAGGGTAGGCTGCTGAGCCACCGGCCTTCCCCATGGTCTATCCTTGTCATGGATGGTAGGAGCATCATTCACATCCCCCGCAGGCTGAGACCTGTGGTTCATTGCCATTTCTTCAACCCCAGGTGGTCTGTGAGCCTGTTGAGAACAAGCTAGACCCTTGCACAAACACACATAGGACCATGGTTGTGATGTCTCCTGGGCCTTTTAAGGGGTTCACAGACTTGGGGCCTGACAGAACTATCTTGAACGTGTTAGGAAGGAGCAAGGCCTTTCTTGGGGTAGACCTGGGACCGTGGGGCATCTGGGTCTGATGGAAGGGGTATACTGTCTGTTGGAGGAGGGAAACAGTGAGGTCAAATTCCTTCTTATAACCTGGACTCTGCTAAGGCCATCTTCTCTCTGCCTCAGGCATGTTCTGAGACTTACCCACGGACAGTCCTCTGGCCTTTAGGAAAGATCTCTCAGGCCTACACCAGGCTCTGTTTCAGGTACAGCTCAAACATGACCTTGGCTTCCCTACAGCCCATATTCTGGGGATGAAGAAAACTCACATCCTACTGAGCCTAACTCAGCAGAGAGACTTGTGGTCCTCGGGGGCCCAAGGCCAGCGTCAAGCCCTTACTCAGCTCTGCTGAGAGTCAGGACTACGCACTCCTGTGAACTGGGCCTTTGCCAAGCTCATAATTCACTAATATCATTCCACCCTTGAGGAAACTAAGGCTTTCTGCCAGGAAGAGGCCATTTCCCTGAGGCCTGAGGTAGTCTGCATGTCCACTAGCACTCCGTGCCCAGTCCTCCTGGCACTGACCTTTTGGGGTGAACTTGTCGAGGTCAGCTTTACGAATCAAATTCTGGGACATGTAGGGGCCACAGCACACATTCTGAAACAAAACCCAAAACCTTGAGTGTGTACAAAAATTCCATAGTCAGGACCCAGGGGTGACTCCAAGGCTGGATGTTTCCCAACTTCCCACCAGAGAGCACCCCAGGAGTATAGGGGTGAGCTTATACACATTGTTCAAAGGCCATGGTAGATGACAGACTGAGGCCACCTGGGACACCCTTGGCTGCCTTATTTGAGTCCAACATAGTTTTCTTCCTTCTAGAGAACACTCCAGTTATGTCCAAGGGCCAAGTCATGAGGCAGAAACTGTAAAGTCAGGAGCTGTCTCTAGGTGTATTTCCTTTCCCAGGGGCCACCCTGGCACTACTGGTGAGCCAGGTACCAGTGGGTTCCCTCTGCTTCTCCAGTCTTTCCCCTGCCTAAAATCTTCCTAAGGCTTCCTAACTTTAAGATCTCAGCAGAATGCTGTCTCATCCACACACTCCTTCTTAACCAGAACTGGCACTGGGGGACTTCTGAAGGCCATCACATCAGGGATGTGAATATCTTATCTTTGCTAGTCTCCAATGCTCAGCCCTGGTTCTGGAACATAGGAAGGGCTTAGCAATGAACTGGAAAAGAATGGACTGACGAACGGGATAGCTAGGTGGGTGGGCAGATGGATGAATGGATAGACAGATGGATAGATACAGTCGAGTAGCTAAGTGAACCAATGAATTGACACCGAGCAGGACAAAAAGATGGGTGAGTGGAATCCACATGGAAGGATCAAGGCTGGCAAGAGACAGCTGTCACACTCACCCCAAGGTAGTCTAAGGTCCCAGGGCTAAGGATGTCAGAGTAGAACCCACGCTGCTTCATTAGGGGGTACTTCTTCTCAGCACCTGTCAGAGGTGACTTCCGGGGCTGCCCGAAGTCTGAGAGGGGTAAAGGTGGGGGCTTGGACTCAGGAGTTGGATTTCTTCCCATATGAGAAGTGGATTCTTGGAGTATCTTCTCCAGGTCACTGTCTTCGCTTGCAGGAGCCGGCACTGGGCAGCAATATGAGCCCTGAGAGCTCTTTCCTGATCCTCTTCTACTACGATCTTCCATGCTGCTCTTCAGAGGGTTGCCCCAGCCAGACCTCCTACGGAAAGACACGGCATCACTCACACTTTGACGACTTTGGCCTCTGCCCAGGTAACTATAATTCACGGTTGGACAGATTGGCTCTCTATATCAAGTCTAAGTCTGCTATCCACGGGTAACAGAAGAGGACAAGGTCAGGAGCCCCGCAGATGACAATGGCCTTCCTTGAGAATCAAGGATTGAGGGAAGGGACCTGCAGATACCTCCAGCTCAGTGCCTCCTCATCTTCCCACTCGTTCTCTTCTTTTAGACAGCAAGGCCTGGCTTCCCTGCTGTAGGGGATGAAAGGGGGAGACCCAGAGCTCACCCACTCACTGAATTTCTCCCCAAAGGCTTTCACACAGTCAGAAGTAGTTCCAGTGCCCTAGCTTAGACCTGCTGGACTGGCCTTCCTCTCCTCCATATGGTCACAAGGCTGCCATACCCACTCACACCTATGCTTGCCCAATCCATTTCCCCACATCCTAGGAGTCAGAGGATGCAATGTTCTTGCCAACAGGATGAAAACTTTGACCATCCACGGGCCCACAGATCCTCCTAGAAGCCACAAAGTGGCACTCACTCACCCTGACTCAGTGTCAGATCAGCTCAGGGAATGTCACCTTTCTGTCTTCACACAGGGAGGAGCAGGGAGTCTCCAGGCTATGGGCACATCCACCACCTTGAGGACAAGGCGATTATTAGCAAGCCCTTCCCATACCACAGCTGCCTTTTAGCTACCTCAAAACATTATCACCAGAGGAAATCCTTAAGCAGGAGAATGTTACAGTAAGTTAGATAACTGTGTGGGGGAAGAAGAGGTTTTCATGTAAGGGTGGTACAGAAATAAAAGAAAGTCTACAATCACCTCAAAAAAACTGAATGAAAAAATATCACGTGTGTGTTTTGCAAGAATGGATGTGCACATGCGTCTGGGTGTGCTTGCCTGTGTGTGCATATGTAGAGGCCAGAGGCTTAATTCGTCTATATTCCTCAAGACATTTCCACATTTTTGTACATTTATCGTGTGTGTGTGTGTGTGTGTGTGTGTGTGTTTGTGTGTGTGTGTGTATGTGTGTGTGTGTGTGTGTGTTGTGCATGTACTACAGCCTGTGTGGAGGTCAGAGGACAACTTTCAGGAGTACTTTCTGTCCTTCCACCATGTAGGTTCTGGGGATTGAATTCAGCTCATCGGTTTTGGTGACAAATGTCTTTACTTGCTGGCATCTCCTTATACACTGTGGCAGACAGTCTCATTTACAGTACCGTGAGGAGTGGGGTGGGCCTCTAGGGACCAAAGTTGCCCAGCAGCTCAGAAGTCAACTGCAGCAGCTGAGCACTTTCTAAGTAGAAGACCGAGAGTTGGAAGGCCATCTGAAGGACAAACAAAGCCAGGCAGGCCTCTGGTAGAAGCCCTCGGTACCCAGAGTGAAGGCTCACCACCCTCTAAGTAGGCAGATCTGACAGGCCTCCCTATGAGAAACTACCTGAACCTACTCTTGGTGGCCAACTGCCTCGTAGGGCAGATACTAAAGATAACACCACGTCTGGCCTACCTGCGTGACACTCACTGCCCTTTTCAGGACAACATAGCGGACAAGAAGACTCCCTGGGGCTCAGCTTCCTCATTCTGCAAATGCACAGACATCATCTTTGAACAAAAATCATCAAACAGACAGCTGGGCTTGGAGAGGCCAGGGTCCCATCTCCACAAGAAAGCATTCTGGTCTTGGTGTCTCCAGCCAATATACTCAGTATGTCTGGCCTGCTTTACTAGGGATTAGCACACATATGACTGTCTAGGAAATCGCAGTGTGCCTGGAGCAAAGGAGTCTGGGTGAGTGGATTTCTTGTCCCCTGTTCCATAAGCGAATGCATTGTTGACAGTCGGGGGAGTTCATCATGGCACATAGCCCAAGGAAAAAAGATGGGAGGTGGCCTGGAGACTCAGAGCCCCATTTCATTCTACTTCCCAACCCATCACAACCAATCCTTTCCAGTCCTGCCCCACCTTGGGGAGCCTATACCAAGCCAGTGTGTGCAGGAACAGACAAACTTCTGCCTTCTTAGCATAGCTCCATGGGTGACAGCAGTCTCTCCCTGGGAACGAATGTGGCTAGCAAGAGAGAGCATGTGGCTCACAGCAAGACCTCTGCTGCCGGTCACCCTGGGAACGCCTTTCCCTCCCCTTTTTGTGTGAGGAAACAAGGTAGCGAGGTGGCAGGTTTGGTCCTGGCGGGCCCAGAACTGGGCATGGTGAGTGTCGTTAGGGCCGCAGACGCATCCCATACCTAAGCCCATTTAAACTTACGTGGAAATCGAGACAATTCTCGTTTTTCAGAGATGAGATAATGGACCCTCAGAAGGTTGCATGACCTGGCCAGTGTTTCACAGCTAGCAAGAGGCACCCACCCACTCAACCACTCGGTTGAATGCATACAGATAAATGGAGGTGGGGGCTGGGCTGGGAGGAGGTGTGTGGTTCTTATAACAGGCACTGTGAGTGCTACCAACAGTTACAAGCACGGAAACTCAAGTCCAAAGAGGTGCACGGAGAAGCCCTGAGATGTGTGCAAAATCAAGCCCACGGAGGACCTGAGGAGGAGGGCTTCCAGTCACCCATGCAAGCCCTGACTCAGAAAGAACCCTGCACTGCTACCGCTGTGAACATCCCACGGTACTGGGTAAACTCTCATTTCACAAAGGATGGGAACTTGAAAGGATCTGGGAAGTCTCTGCCTCTGCTGAGACTACTGGGCCAACAACAGTACGGTTAGGTGGTCATCTCTCTCACAGGCTTGGGACTTCCTTCATCCTTCTGATGTATTCAGCTGAGGAGAACCAGCTCTGCGCCCACGGCTTCCTGCACCATCGGCCATAGCCAGAAATCATATGGTACTTTGCTCTCCCCTGCCACGAACAGGGATTGTTTAAGAAACATTGATCTCTGGAAACTGGGTGCCTACCATGGGACGGTCACTGGCTTGGCACGCAGTAGGTCCCCAGAATGCACTTGCTGAATTATAGTGGGAACCAACGAAAAAATTGAATGGGGTTTGTAAAGGAAGCTACAGAGTCGATCTCTGTAACAACCCTGTGGTCTGATGAGGAGAGAGAACGGTGTCTGGTGAGGCTCCTTCCTCCCTTGCAGAGATCCTTGCAGGAGCCTGCTATAGGGAGGAGGGCCTCGAGTCACACTCCCTGCAGAGGGGTAGGATCCGCACCCCAAACGGTGTGCTAAGTACAGGACTTAACAGCAAGGCTGCTTAAGGTGCCTTCCCCTATACCCTGCTCCCCAAGCCCCGGCCCCGCAAAGGCTCCGTAGGTGACCCACACTCGTGGGAGGCGATGGTGATCTTAAGCAGGCAAGGGTGCCTCCTCGGTGTCCACTCACTTGTGCGCCTCTGAATTTCCCCCGACCCAATCATCCCGCCGCCTCACGGACCTACCGGCTTCCCTAAACAGCAAAGTCGTCGGACCCTTCCTGTCTCTAGGGAGGGACGCTGGGCCCGTTGCGAGGGGGCGGGGCCGTGTGGCACCGCGGGGCGAGAGCTTCCGGGTACCAACTTCCCCGGGACCGCTCATTGCTCTAGAGGTCTGGTTTCTCAAGGCTAGTCAGAGCGGAGATCAGTTACACTACACCATTCCGGAGGGGGAGGGCGTGTAGTTCTCAGATTCAGACTCCGTTACCCATTTCCCCCCTTAGGGCCCTCTAACAGTAAGAGACAAAACAACCAAAATGCAGCGTGAAAACTTTGAATAATGGGTAGGGAAATAGGTGTGAAAGGGCGGGAGAGGGGTCTCAGACCTGTGGTTCCAGCACATAGCAGATGGGGAGGCAAGGTCATCCTTTATTTTGTTTTTGTTTTTTGTTTTTTGTTTTTCGAGACAGGGTTTCTCTGTGTAGCTTTGTGCCTTTCCTGGATCTCGCTCTGTAGCCCAGACTGGCCTCGAACTCACAGAGATGCACCTGCCCCTGCCTCCCCAGTGCTGGGATTAAAGGCGTGCGCCACCACCACCCGGCAAGGTGATCCTTTAATACATACCAAGTTTGATGTCAGCCTAGGCTACCCGAAACCTTGCCACAAACAAGGCTATTGGGCTGGAGATTTACTCAGTTGGTAGAGGGTTGGCCTGTCTGCAGTGCAGACTGGTGGTGCACATCTGTTATTCCAGCAGTGGGAGGTAGAGGCAAGAGGCAAGGTCATTCCCAGCTGTGGATACAAGAGACTCCATCTCAAACAACAACAACAACAAAACGCCATCAACAAAAGGATGTGAGGAGGTTATGAATCGGAATTTGGTGTTCAAGCCATAGCTGCAGGCAGATGGTCACAGGGCACTGTGTGTACACAGCACTGGTTCTGGTTCTCTGGAGTCTCAGCTCACTGGCCACTCTCCCTCCCCTGACCCGGTCCTCAGTCCCAGCTCGCTATTGCATCTGCCTCCTGTGGCTGGCTAGTGGCTGCGCTTGTATCACCCTCCCTGATAGTAGGTGTCACTATTTAATGTCCGCATCTGCTTCAAACTGGGTATGGATTCAGATTGCTCTGAGTATTGAATAACTTTAAGTTTTTGTTTGTTTCAGACAGGGTCTCACTTTGTAGCTCTGGCTGGCTTGGAACTCACTACCTAGACCAGGCTGGATCCACCTGCCTCTGCCTCCCAAGTGCTGGGATTAAAGGCATGCATGACCATACTCACAGCTTTCTTTCTTTTCTTTTCTCTTCCCCCCACCCCCTTTTGGAGGGTGAGTCTCATTATGTGGCTATGGCTGACTTGGAGCTCACAGAAATCTGTAGGCCTCTGCCTCCCCATTGCTGGAGTTAAAGGCAAAATGTGCCTTCACACCTGGTAATTTGTTATATTTAATGTGATAGTAGTTATTGTGGTATATAGGGCACTGTCCTTGTTTTTATTTTATTTTTAATGGCATTTAAAAATATTTGTTATTTTTATTTTATGTGTATGCGTATTTAGCCTACATGTATGTGTACCACATGGGTGCCTATTGCCTGCAGAGGCCAGAAGAGGGTGCTAGAACCATTGGACTGGGAATTACAGCTAGTTATGAGCCACCGTGTTGGGGCTGGAAACTGAACTCCTCCAGTCCTCTGTCATAGTAGCAAAGACTCAAGCTCTGAGCCATCTCTCCAGCCCCGTGTCCTTGTCTTAATGTGGCCTCGATTTCAAAAGTGATACCAAGTGTTCTGCTGAGATTTCCTTTCAAGTGATTCTGTAAAAACGATATGCAGACAAGTATAGACACCAAGAGAAGGAAGAGATAATGCAAAAGTGACTAAATGCCATCAACTGTGAAACCGGAAGGTTGCTGCTTTCCACTGTACCAGTCCTTCTGGCCTTTACCCTTTAAAGGGGAGGGGTGGATTACAAACCAAGAGAAAAGAAAAAAGTTCCCCATCTCAATTTGGGAACTCTTGCCCAGAGCCATTCCATAATGATCCCCAGTTCACAGACAGGGAAACTGAGTCCACTGAGACATGCTAATGTTGAAGGATGTAGCAGGATCTGGTGTTTATCACATGGATTTTATTCATTGCATTAGTAATTCTGGCTTGTTGCCAGGCCTGCACTGGACACTAATTAAATGGATCCCAGTCTGGGCTGTATGATGTTAACGAATGGGCCAGAGAAACGAGGCTAGGAGGAAGCCTAAGGCCGAGAGAAGCTTTTCTTGGGGACAGAAGTCTGCCTTTGCACAGGCTAGTGCTTCCCCTTCAGAGCATCTCTTTCCAGCACCTCCTCCTGGCCAGCTCCCATCACCCATCAGACCTGGGTGCGGATGCAACCTTCTCTGAGTCCAAACCATGGCTTCATTTGCTTTACTTGTTGGCATTCCTATAATCACTCGGTGTCTGCTTCGGAGAACAGCACAAGTGTGTAGGGAATTAGAGACCGAAAAGATGGCCATGGTTCTTTGGAATCTGGCTTCTCCATGGGTCTGAGATT